AACTGCTAGCCGAGCCATTCTCATTAAGGAGAAAAAGTAGAGAGTCAGAGTAGGTGGAAGATGTCTGCCTGAAGTAGGTTATAGTCTGCAGCATTACAACAACCATTTGTTGTACTCCCTGTAGTGTGCATTGTCTGATGATTGTGACAAGTTGCAGCAGTCTGGGAAAGTATTTCAGGTAAACAGGGTTTACTTGTGTTTCCATCCACACTATAGAGCTCACTTAATACTTATGTGGCAAGGCTGGAAAAAAGTAGACTGTGTTTGATTTACATATCAGTGCTTTTTGGAGTTGTGAAAGTGTGAAAACAGCAGTAAGCCTATGACAAGGTACTCTGAGGACTTAGATTTGTTTCTTCTTGTGGATAGTGTTTACCTTACCAAACAACACCAGAGGCACTAAGATCTGCTGCTTATCCCCATGGGGGACGTGATACGATACAGTAAGGCTACAGTACCTTGTACACACTTCAGGGAGGAGCATGTGTAGGTGCATTTGTGTATGTGACAGATTTTATACAGCCACACTTACTTACAAATTCAGCAACTATTTCTGTCTTCTGTCTTGCTCTCTCCCTCTGTGCGTTGCAGATAAGAAAATGGCTGTAGCAGCCGTATTAACAGTGTTTCCAGAAACCGCCATTGTTTCCTGAGCCAATGCTAAACAGAGATTAAAATTAATAGCTTAAGTCATGGTGCCATTAGAATTGGTGACAAAACATTCAATCCAGTTTGTTGTAAGAGTGCTACCTTACCATTTTGTGTGTACTGAAATAAGTTGTGCTGGTGTCATTATTTATGTCTTTATTCATGCATGGCTCTTAGGTATGGGACATTTTTGGTTTAAAAGGGAAATATATGGACTCACTGAGAGGTTGGCACTCTGGTTACAAATGGTGATATTAATTATATAAATCATTATAATTATGGTAGGGCATCGTTAAGAGGCTATAAGTCATTCAAACATAACAAAGGGCTCGAAAACAAGAGAAGAATCAAGGTTGTGTCTACACGTGAAAGAACCCATTTCAAATTATATCTTAAAGCACTTTGTTCACAGCAGTCTGTTGTAGAAACACATCATGTGTTCCAAATTTCTTCAGTTGAATCTAGATTAAGATCACCAGAAAACAAATTTGATAGTAATTTAATTTGATTTTAGCACTCACAAAGTGCTTCAAAGGCCTATTAGCTGAAATATTGCCATATCTCAGCATGGTGTGCACTGTGTCCTTAAAAAAATGTGAGGAAACTACAGGAAACATGTTGCATAAAAGAAGTGCCAGGCCTAAAAAACTATCTGACCTGATCAGACAAGGACCTGAGAAATGCATCTGGCCCTTCAGCTGATCCTCGTACTGTTCGTTGAATTCAGAAATTGTCCTTATTTTAAAAAAGCCATTATTAAAAAAGGAAAACAGCGAGGAAAGGCCGAGTTATGCAAAATTACTCAAGAACTGGACGGAAAATCAGTCAATCCAAATTACTGTCTGAATGTTTGGATTGACTGATGGCATTTCAGTCAGTGGTGTTTGCCACTCTGCACACGTTTCAGTAAATTCCTGCACCCATTTCCTTAGCAAAATATAAAGAAATGATGCGTGGCTCAAGACTTTTGCACAGTGCTGTGTGATAGGTAAGAAAAGCTACAGTTAAATGCCAGTTTGTTTGTTTATTAAATTCATTTTAGAATTTAAAAATGGCTTGTAGGTCACTGCAGGTGTTATGGGCAAAAAGAGACGTCAGCATCATAATGTTACTGTGCATTGCATAGTAATGGGATTAGTGTTAAATCTGATTATATTTTAGGCTCCCAGTTATTTCTACTACATTGTTTCTTTTTCAAAAATTTATTTTGTAAAATCACAAGAATAAATGTAATAACAAATGAAGAAATTTAAAGATGTGGACTAAGTGATGTGTTGAATCTTGAAAAGCAAGCAGGGTTGCTGTTGCTGTTGCTGAACAGAGCACCGAAAGATATGCATAACTAAATAATCGACTTTAGAAAATAGCCTGTAGTTTACTTTTAATGGAGCTTCCTTTAGTAGCAGCATTTTTATATTTTGTTATTGTGTATGTGCAGCTGGAGTAATATCAGCAGGTCTCACCAAATACAGCTGCATAAAGAGAGATATGCTCACACCTTGAAAGGTTTATTTTGACATTTCATGCTTGCCAGTGGCATGTTATTAAGTTCTTGCAGCGCAGCAGACTCGAGTTCAAGCCCCAGCAACGCAGAGCGATGATGAGCGATGGAAGTAGAAACACACACGCATTCATCATAACCCTGATTTATTGGGGAATAACCTTTTGTGTTCAGCTAGTCAATAACTTAGCGTCTCTTTGTATTGGCTGCATTTAATTGTTGACAACAAGAGCGAGAAGGAAGCAAAGGACCAACATGCAGCTAAAATTATGTAATTCAGTGTTGCAGTTTTCTTTAACTAGTGTTGGTTTTAGTATTATTTTTAGAAATTCACATGGTGCATATATGTTTTTTGGCTTGTGAAATGATAGAATACATCACAAAGAGCTTTGTGCGCTGATTGTGTAATGAAAGTTAAACTGGAGGTGCAATAAATCACACTTCTCAATATTTTTCAAGTTTCCTTGCTATTGAACTTATCTCATCTCAGAGCTCTGCTCTCTCTCTCGTACCAAACAAGCTCATTTTCTGAACACGCATAAAATCTCTGTTTCTCTCTGGAGTTAACGCAACTAAATGTGCTGCTAAATCTGTGGGACTTCAAAGCTGTTTTTCTCTGCTCTTTTGCCAGGGTCATCACAGATAGCCAACTCCTATCTGCCTCCCCAGGCAAGACTTAAAGCTTTGACTGTCGGTTTGCGGTTATAGTTCAAACTTGGCTTCAGCATTCAGACGACCAGGAGCAGCAGAAGCAGCACCAACTACACACACATGAGAGCCGGAGCACAGAGAAAAATATGAAAAAGATATATATTGGCAAAACTGCTCTCAAAACCCAGAGAAACGGTTGCAAACATCAAAAAAGGAGGTAAGACGAGTCAGTCAGCAGAGTTATTCAGAATCTAAACATCGACCGCATCATTGATGAATCCATTTCATTCATTTTAACTCGTGGAAATGGATTCTCATTGGGAGGTTATAACCATTAAAAAGCCATTAAAAACATCGCGTTGTATCTATTCATTGCCATCGCTCATCATCACATCCCTTTGTGTGTTGGCTGACATTTAAATCTAGTTTAATGGCGCTCTGCTTTGGACCAAAAACAGAGGACACCAGCAAAAGGTTTGGGGCTCCTTGCCATGTATTTTTTTTTAACAACATTACTTGAAGCTGGTGTAAAGATTGTGTTGCAAAATCACTTAGGAGGGCAAACCTGCATTGGGATATTGAACAGATAAAATAAACTATCCAGCGATCGTCTCTGTTTCTCTCTTTGTAAACAAGCAAGAAGTGTTGTGTTTAGCTGCTGGAGGTGCAGGCGAACTGTTTGACTGTTCCTCTAGTGTTTATAAGCTAAAAGCCTTCTGGCTCTGATTCTATACTTGAAGGGTAGCATCACATTTTGTATAATACACTTGTTTACGTCCCTACACAGAGTAAGCCTACAGACACCATGTCCGAGGATTAAAACTGCGAGGGTTGGGGGGGGGGACTAGAGCAGTTTTACATCTCTATTCACTTTCGTCTACCACAGCATCAACAAAAGTGAGTGCTGACATGGTATTCAAACCACACTGTCCCAGGTGACAGTCTTGTATTTTGCCAAATGTGTCTACGGAAATTAAAGAGAAGTGTGATTGGCCTTTCCATCATGGGCTCAATATCATGAAGACAAAGTACCCAGGAGGTCTTAGACCAGTTCCTTTAAAATGTGCGGAAAGATTTTAAACTGGTTTTAAACATGTTACTAACTCCAGCTCAAAATGCAATTCTCAGACCTTTGCTGACTTCGGTTTAGCATAAGATCAAGACTGGAAAAGAAAAAAAACGTTCACAGTACCTAGCACGAGGTCCCATGCATATAAGATTACCTCTTATGGCTTTATAAAGGCTTAATTAGTGCAGATTCTCAACTGAGGACACAGATGTGAAGGTTAGCCTATTGCACCACCCATTTACATGGCATAGCCTCTAAGTTACTATGGACACTCCAACTTTAGTGTCAGATTAGCTTGAGGCTTAGAACCGAGGTGAACTTGGAAGATGATGTCATTGCGCCTGCTGGATGGTTAGGCCGAGCCATCAAACCTCTCCATGAGCCAAGTATCCATCAGTTTGGCACAATGCTAAATCCCCCAGAGCGCACATGGCTCCTGCTCCCAATCTTTATAGCCTTCCACTACCATATCCATTCCCACAGTCAGTCCTGTCAGTGTGTTTTCATTGTTAATGCGCAAAACTGCATCAAACACACAACCAAAGTATTTCTTCCTGCCTGGTGTTGTTGACAGGTATGGTGTTGAAACAGTGCTCCTTTGGCCTCTCATTCTCTCTCATGCCATCGTTCTTTTAAAGCCTTCTCGTACACAAAGTTGTGTTTCATTCTGTATTTTCGCCCCTTCTTCTATGAATCACCAGTGGTCCAAGTCCAGGGGCAAAAATCTTTTTCTATTCTTTCACACATTTGATGGTGAAGGGGGTGGAGGGTGTAATAAAAATTCACCATTACACCGATGGGAGCTCCTTTCCCAGTTCTACTCCTTTTTTGTGAATGGGAAATGATTAGTAGTCCTCCTCCATCCATCTACTCCTCCCCATCGGCCTCCCTGCTATCCCCCTGCCTGGGACCTCTCTGACCTCAAACTGAATTACACTCCAGCTACACTTCACCCTTTTCCCTCCCTCTCACACTAACACATAATGCCTTTTCAGCTTGTCTCTGTTTTCTCTAGCATTCTGTGCTTGGCTTGTTGAATCTGACAAACTGACAGAAATAAAAGTGCACCACTATTGTGCGACTTTATCTTCTTCTTTCCTTTTCTCTAAATGCTCTCTGCTATCTGTTCAGCTCATTTCACGACCACAAGGATGACCTACGTAAGCGCCTGTCGTACACCACCCACAAACTAGAGATGGTGGAAACTGAGTTTGACTCCACTCGGCAGTACCTCGAGACAGAGCTGCGCCGGGCCCAGGAGGAACTGGAGAAATTTACAGAGAAGCTGCGCAGGTGTGTGTGCTTGTGTGCATGGCTTTATGAGGTGGCTGCCTTTTTATTTATGCATTTTGTGGCACAACTTTCATTTCCTGGTTTTAGCTTAAGAAGCATATTGAGTCTACATATTTACAGTTTTCACTTTTATACATTTCTGTTGCTTTTTAATTCTTTGACAGTCAATTATCTGGGTCTTTTCCAGTATTTTAAAAGACTTCTCGCAGGTGGTTTGAACACCACCCCGTCATCCTCTTCTGCTTTTTAGTTAGGTGGTGGTGGCTACAGGCTAAGCAGGGTATTCAGAACATCTGCCAGAAGTCTGAATGAAATGGCCAAATAGCTTTGAGCTGATAGGAAAGCAACGGTAACTCAAATAACCACTAGCAACAACCAAGGTATGAAGATAAGCAGCTCTGAATGTTAAAGACTGAAGCGGATTGGCTACAGCAGCATAAGATTACACTACTCAAGGCACCATTCCTATCAAGCAACAACAGGAAACTGAGACTGCAATTCACCCTGCTCACCAAAACTGGACAAGAGAAGACTGGAAAAGTGTTGCGTAGTCTGATGAGTCTTGAGTACTGCAACATTCAAAGAGTGGGTTAGAATTTGGGATAAACAGCATAAACACATCGATCCATCCTACTTTGTGTCAACAGTTCATGCTGATGGTGGGGTAATGGTGTCTGGAATATTTTCCTGGCACACTTTGGGCCCCCGCAGTATTCTCATAACCATTATTTAAACACCACAGCTTTATTACCACCACTTTATGACCACAGTGTATCCATCTTCTGATGGCTGCTTCCAGCAGGATAATATACAATTTCACAAAGCTCAGATTATCTCAAATTGGTTTCTTGAACATGACTGTGAGTTCATTGCATCTAAATGACTTGCACAGTCACCAGATCTCAGTCCGACAGAGTACCTTTGGCATGCTGTGGAATAGGAGTTCTTCAGCAGGTATTGGAGAACCTGGAAAACCTCCAAACAAATACCCTAACAACACGAATAGGGACTTTACTCCAGGATTATCCAGTTCCTTACCATATTGCTAAGACTGAACTCAGCCACCATACAGAGGGAAAGCATCTTGACTTGCTTTATGATTGCATTCTTTTGGTTGTTACCAAGGGCTCATGACCATAGGTGAAGGTAAGCTCTCTCTTAACTACAGCAGTCCAGTACAATGCCCACAGTGCTGTTGATGTTGCAGCAATCTGCCAGTACATCCTCACTTGGAACAGCTCCAGTGGATGCCAGAGGCACATAAATGTGAACTACATCATCAAAAATCAAGGATGCAACTCCGACTTTCCCAAAACAGACACCGTCCTATTCACAGTGTTGGGAAGGTTACTTTTAAAATATATTCCACTACAGATTACAGAATACATGCCCCAAAATGTATTTTGTAACATATTCCCTTACGTTACTCAATGAGAGTAACGTATTCGGAATACTTTGGATTACTTAATATATTATCAAGCTTTTTACAACTACATAAATGTACTATTGCTGTGTGATTTATTACTATTACTGAAGGTTACTCGCCATACCAATACCAACTAATTTTTTAAATCTTAATATAAAATGAGTAACAGTAGGGTGGACATTACGTAAGGCTGCACTTTTTGCAGTGATTCCGTATAGTAAACTATTCCACGCGTATATAAAACAGGTCCGCGGCTCTGAACCGTGGTAAAGGAACCTCTGGCTAATACGTCGGGTTTGTGTCGGGCTCGTACCCAAAAACTAGCTTTACATTGTTGTCTGGGTCAACTTTGCTAGCGTTAGACAGAGAGAGGCGTTGAAAGGCTGCTCCAATGGAACTTATTGTTTTGGAGGAAAACACGAACACAGTGTACAGTCGAGTCTTAATATAACCATATTTTGTATTTTAAATACGTAAGTACATGTATTCCGTTACTCCCCATCACTGCCTATCCATCATTATAGTATTTAAGTCCATATTGGATGAGTTCAAACCTTTATGACAGTAAAAGTAAACTAGAAACTAAAACTTGATGTGTAAAAAAAATTATTTTAATTAAATAACTAATTAAAATTTTAAATAAGACTTTTGAAAAAACTAACGATTTTGTGAACTGGGAAAATTAACTCAAATTAAATAAAAAATGCAGAATTCATAAAAACCTTAGTTTTAGTGTTTGTTAGTTTAATAAACATTTTATTGCAGTGTACCTGATGAGGTGTTGATGGACATGTTTACTGAAGATTCTTCAGTTCAGTAAACATGAACCTATAAAAGTGAGTAAAATGCAGCTGAAATATAAAAAAATCAAAGGTTTACTTATTCAAATAGTGAATATTAATCATTAAAGTAAAGTGAATGTGTCATGATCTGAGGAGCTGGCATATCATATGTGTGTCGGGATTCAAGGAATGTGGAAACCCAAGTGCAGACATGCATAGGCAAATAGAAGTTAAGTAAAGACGAGCCATTTATTTAGGAAACAGGAAGAGAATTAAGTAAACAGAACAATAATATACACATGAATTGACTGAATTCAATGGAATTGACACATGAGGAAGGGGGCACAGCGTGTGTCAGACACTTAGCTCAAGAAATACAAGGCAAGGGACCAACTACATACTGGGAACAGAGATAGTACTAAGACAGACTGGACACAAAGGAAAACTAATTAAACCAAAAAAACAAGTGCTAAAAAGGCAAATAACTAAACTAGGAAGCACTGGGGAGAAATCATGTCCAGATGGAGAGATCAAAATAGACCAGAAAACAAAGTCCCAGGGACAGGCCTGTCCAGCTCCCCCACAACGCAAGCTCCAGGGCAGATGTCAACATAGTCAAGTCATTTCTGGGAACCAGTCGCAGAGCCAGAGCTCTGGCAGCCAGCCATGAGGGAGCCCGTAGGCGACACTGACGACCCCTCCAGTGACTTAGGTGGTACTTTGATAAACTTAAATGTCTTGATAAACTGTGCCTAGGTGGCCTGAAGTCCTTCAACACTCCTGATACAATGCATGCCAGTCATATTTCGCAAGTTACACAATTTTACTTCATAACAAAGCTCAGTTTGTTCATGCACCTTCAATATGAGTAACAGTGCTCAGTGTTCCCTTATTATGGCAGGTTTTACTACAGTTATTTATTCACTATGGTGTGAGCCACTCTCTGTCAGCTCTACTCAGTCATTCCCATTTATGCTCCCTCTTTAGCTTGTCAAATCTCTTTCAGACCTTTGTTTTATGATCTGTCTTTGCTTCTGATCTCTACTGCCCACAGTCTCCAAATCTGTCTGCTTAATGGAGCCATAAATGCTAGTTTATCAACACTCTCTTTGGCCTGAGAGCTAATGGGAAAATGTAATACAGAGCTGAGAGGTGACACGATAAAATTAGAGGAATAAGTTAACAAATATAAAGTCAGGGGCATGTTACATTAAGCATTAAGCCAATGCAATGGTCTACTTAAGAGCAAAACTGATAATAAATACTAATATTATCAGTAAGGGAAAAGAACAAAATGATAAAAACTACACAAAATGAAGAAACAGAATTTAAAAGGGAGGAAAAAACTTATGTGGTATTTAACTATAAAGTCATAGTCATGCTTCCTTATTCTTTTCATATAATATTTATAGATGTAAAAGTTTTTTGTGCCCACTTTTTATGTGTTAGATTCCCCTGGTGTTGCACTTAAACATATCATCAGCCCTTTTTGTGGTGTTTTAGTTCAGCAGATTTATAACCACAGTGATCCTTAAGTCTAAGTAAGAACTTAAGATATCCTGCAAATCCCATCTGAGACTTTCTGTCAGCGCACTGATGTTGTAAATTTTTTATTCCTCTAAATTTATGTACAGATCGCCGCTGCTTGTTTTGGTTTACGAACAGTAAAACACTCTTTACTCGTCATATTGTGCAGTTTGCATTTTTAAGTGCGTTAACTTCTCCGTTCGGTTTTTTTGCAGGATCCAGAGTAGCTATGCAGCTCTTCAGAGGATCAACCAGGATTTGGAGGACAAGATGCACAGGGCGGTAAGAATCCCCTGCTGAAGTTTTTGCAAGTTTTTTTTAAAACCTTGCGTAACTGTATCTTTCATTGACACTGAAGCATCCAGTTACATAAGGTTACATATAGTACAAGCGCCACTAAAATCGTATTTTGTTTTGTAAATCATGGTGGAAGGTATTCTTTATTGTATTGGAAAACATCACAGTGTTCTTGATGTTTTCCATATGGACATTAAAACTATGTAATTTCACAGTCTGTACAGTTATGAAAAGTTATTTGGTAAGCCGAACACATCAAATTAATTTTACATCATGGGCCACATACAGCTCGCTTTGATCTCAAGTGGGCCGAACAAGCTAAACTCTCCTTTCTGTCAGTGTAAAGATGTTTAACTGCACATTTAATTCCATTTGGTATGAGAAAAAGAAGTGCTAGTTCAGCAGTACGTCTCCGTTTTTTCTACATGATAAAGAAATGCTGCTGTAACGAAACACAAATAAAGTGCAAATAAATAAATGTTTAAAAACAGAAAATGTATCCAAATAGAAAAAGAGATAATAAATAGAAATTAACAATAAATCGTGAAAAAATGGGAACTTTTCTATATTTGGCTATGTCAGAGTTGCTTTGTAATACGCTTTATGCTTTCACCATAAACAAATTCCTCTGGATTTCATATGGAACTGGACCGAGGCCATATCCTCCAAATGATCTCAGTTGTTCTGGTCTTGGCACCTGAGTGTGATTACCATGTTCACATGTACCCATATATATAT